CCCCCTAGCAGCCCTCCCAACAGGAATATAAGCTTTGGGTCTACAACACACATGCTCCCTGACTGCTCAGCAGAGAAGCCGCCAGCTCTGGCTGCCTCCATGCCTGTGTTCCAGAAAGTTCATTCCTCTGTTCCATGACTGCAGAGTGGCTCCGGATGGCCGGCCAGCACCGTTCTCTGCCATCCTCTGGGTGCAACTCTGCCTTCCCCAACAAAGTGTAAGTCTCAGAGAGTTATTATATCCTCTAGTTACCTTTTATCATAGCCTAACCGTTCTTTATACTGAACTTCCCCTAGTTACCTCCTCTAGGTATCTGTCTCATGATTGGCTCCTGGCTGCCAGCTCATCCTTAAGTTACCTAGGAGCTTTCCAAATGTCACCTCATGAACAACAAAGACAGTTTCTCTTTAATCTCTTAGGAAATTCCAAAAGTTTTAGCAGCTCTAAACCAGGAATGGGACAAAGAACAAATAGTGTATTTCTTATTATAAATCATAGGATCACAGCTCATTATTTAAGTTGTTAAGTTATGCCATTCATTTTAATATGTCTAGTTTATCACTTTGATGCCACCTCTTTTTATTTGACGAATATGACAAGTGCTTTCACTTATTTCCTGATAAATATTGATTATGCTTATTTTAAATGATTAGTCAGTCCTTTCTAATGATTCTGCATTAGTTGATGTTTATTTCTGGCCCCCTGACCCTGTGGTGATGGAGGTACGCTCTCAGCCCGCTCCTTATCTCATCTGTGAGCTCCTCCTCTTTGGGATGTCGGGCCTAACTGGGTAATTCTGCCAGGCCCTGCTGTGCACCCCACGCAGTGAGATAAAGTAAGGACAGAGGATGACCCCCGACAAGAAGCATCTCTGGCCCCAGAGACCCAGGAATGAAAATGACAGTCTCCCATCAAGTGTCAGGGAAAAACAGCCCTAGAGGGAGGCTGTTGGTGGAATACAAACCTGGGCACGAGGGTGGGACAAGGATGAGCAGAGAATGTCCGAGAAGCTCTGAGGTCACATGAGTTCTGGTTTCTGTGTCATGGAAGCAGGTCCCTGCTGTCAACATAAAATAAGATCATTATGTTGTGAGGTATAATGATCATTCCAAATTCCATCTAGACACAGACAAAAATTGTCACTCCGAGGACCACAAAAATGAAAACACACCCCTCTCCCAGAACACCTGCCACTCCTTTACAAATGCAGCTTTGCCTTGTTCCATTTCTCTCTCCTGCCTGATAAAATTTATTAGAGTAACTCAGTTACAGAATTGCCTCGGCTTCTCTACAGCATCCTGTACAGCACAGACATCCATTTCTTAAAACTTCCTCCCCAAATCACCTAACACAAGGCCAAATCCCCCCAAAATTCCTCCTAATAATCTGTTCCTGAGGAATCATATGGTCCACCATTGTATGCAATATCATGTATATAATAAGTATCACATTTATAAAAACTAAAAGGAAGTAAATCAACTTTCTTTGGCTTTAAGCATGTTCCCGGTGGTCTTTGCCTGGAGGGCACTGACATTTCCCATTTACTGTCATCATCGCACTGTCAGCATCCCTGTGGGAAAGATAATGAGGTTCAAACTCTTTTTCTTATAAGTGTAAAAACTGAGGCACACAGGACAGAGGACTTGTCTAAACTCACAGTTATGAGCCCAAAGCAAGTCTTCTGATTCTAAATCTGCCTCCCAAAAGGGGCCACCCAAATACACTGCTTCCCAAGAAGACTATTGAGCGGTCACCCTAGAAGCAATGAAGGCCCTGGCATGGTTGGCTGCTTGCACTCTGAGTGTGGACCAGACAGGGCATTCCATGGCACAACCAAGTCAGTGGGATCCTGGTTCACAAATGAAGAAATTGAGGAACAGTTGGAGGTAGAACTTGGCCAACGACCCACAGCTGCAAAGTACAGAGCTTGGACTCCAGCCCCAATGAGAGGAAAGGGGGTGCAGAGGGTCAGGCAGTCCATCTACAGGTCAGAAAGGCAGCACCTCTGAAACCCCTTGAGGTGAGGTGGATTTGGGTGGAGGTACCAAGTGAAGGCAATTCTGGGAAGCACCTAATTCCAGAACAAATGCACACAGTGGCCTTACCTGTGATGCGGAGTGAAGAGTGGGTAATCAGGGGCTGGTGCATATGGAGAGGGTTCTTTCATGATGGGAAAGGCCTGCAGGTGACTCTAGGGAGCAGAAGGGGCTCAGAGATGGGAAATACCCAGAGCAGTAGCTCATCGCTTCCCAGTCTGATTCCAGGAAATGCCAGGGTCTGGAGGGCAGCTTCCTGACCTCTGGACTGTGTTTGTTCAATAAAAACAAACTCAGTGATCAAAGGCAGCACCTCCAACATGGTTCAGTTACCTGATTTCACTTCCTGCCACTCTGGGGCAGGAGCCATAGGAAGGTTTGGCTGCTAAAGAGTAGGCAAGAGGGATGAACAAGTTCCATGTAGGCCCTGGATCGCCTGGTGTCAGTCATATGCTTTTGGCATGCGATTCTCTACCATCTGAGGCATTTTTTAGGTTCCAGGACAGATCAGTAGGAAGTAAGGAAATCAGGCCCTTCACAAGCCCAGGGAAGTCTAATTGGAAGGGTTCTAGCAGGGGATCTCATACATCCACATTCCTTCTGGTATTTGAGGACTCTAGAGTATCCCACCACATGGCTCTGCAAAATCTGTATGAAGGTCCCAGGTTGACTCCCCTCATCACCCCAAACTAACATCACATTTTGTGACAGCTCTATTAGAAATGTTGTGTAGAATTAATTCCATTGTGCTTTATAAAATTGTTCTTCCATTCCATCTAGATTGTCTCTCTTGACCACCATCACATGGTTCAAGCCATTGACCCACAAGATATTTATTATTTCTGCTGAGATTGTTATTTGCCCTTTATTTCCTATCTCAGTTGAATGGTACCCAAATATTCATGTTAGAAACTTATGAGTCCATAGAAATTCCTTCTTCTTGTATACCATTTACATCCAATTAATTCCCAAGTTCCCTCAAATGATCCTCGTACATGATTTCAAAGGTGTTCACCTTCTCGACCTCACTGTCATCCTAATTCTGGCCACCAACATCAGCTGCTTAAGTGATACAAAATATCTCCTTGCAAGTTGCATGTTTTTTTGTTTCTTTTTTCCATACCTGCTCCCCTCCAATCCTTCTTCACATTTTAGTCGGAATGAGCTTTGAAAATTTAAATCTGGTCAACTCTTATGAAATTCTTCTAATGATCATTTGGAGGAGGTCCACAGTTTTATAAAAGTTATAATCGTGTTGTTAATCTCTCACCACCTGGATTTCACTATGTAAGCCCAGTCAGACCAAAGAGTATTATCATTGGGAACCTGACCTCCTTTGTCTCATTTTCAAGCCATTGAGCAGACTATTCACAGTGTGAAGCATGGACCAAGCTCTAAAGACGGTAAGAATCATCTTTGCAACTTTTGAAACTTCCTGGAGAGTCCCTCTGGGAACTTTTTAAAAATAATAATATTAGTGTCCCGTACAAAAGGGAAAAAAATAGTAAAGAGAGGTCTTATGTACCTTACATCCATTATTCACCAATGATAGGATATGACATATCACAACGCAAGTATCAAAACAAAGAAATTGGCACTGGAACCATACAACAAGATGCACATCTTATTTGGATTTAACCATTATTTACCTCTATGCTTTTTTTTTCTTGGTGTCTAGTCCTATAAGATTTACTTCACAATCACTGGTTAGTGTAATCACCACAATTAAGATACAGAACTATTCCATCGGCCCCAATGAAAATTGTCCATGCTACACCATTAGAGCCATATCCTCCCTGTAATCCTGATTCCTGCCAACTGCTGATCTGTCCCCTATTATTGCAATTTTATCATTTCAGGTAAGCTATATAAAAAGAACGTACAGTTTGTAAATGTTTGATATTATATTTCTTTTCCTCGCATAATGCCTTTGAGATTTAAACTATTTTATGTGTCAATAGTCTGTTGTTTTTCCTGTAAGTTTTCCTCAGTTTATATTTCCTTTCACTTGTTGAAGAACAATTGGATTATTTCTAGTGATTTTGGCTGTTAGAAATGAAGCTACTTCCCAGACAATGTGGTTCAGTGGTTGAGCATTGATCTATGCACTAAGAAATTACCAGTTCGATTTTGGTGAGGGCACATGCCTGGGTTTTGTGCTGGATTCCCAGCAGAGAGCATGCAAGAGGCAGCCGCTAATTGTTGATATTTATGTTTCTCTATCATTGAGATTTATCTCTCTCTCTCTCTCTCTCTCTCTCTCTCTCTCTCTCTCTCTCTCTCCCTCTCTCTTTCTCTCTCTCTCTCTCTCCTTCTTCTATCTCTCTAAAAAAAAAAAACAATTTTAAAGCACATATTTTATAAAATGAAGCTTCCAAAATGTGGTAATTACATAGAATGGAATAATTCAGTCTTAAAAAGGAAGAAAATTCTGATATATGCTGCAACATAGAAGACATTACGCTAAGTAAAATAAGCCAGTCACCAAAGGACAAATATCATATGATCCCACTAATATAAGGTACCTAAAATAGACAAATTCATAGAGATAAAAAGTAGAACAGTAGTAATCAGGGGTTACTGAGGGATGTGAGAGGGGAGTGGAAATTATTACTCAATGAGTATGGACTTTTGGTCAGGGATGATGAAAAAGTTCTGGAGATGATTAGTGGGGATGGTTTCACAACAATATAAATGTACTTAATGCTGATAAATTATCACCTAATAATGTTCACCATGGCAAATATGATGTTATGTGTATTTTACCACAATAAATAATAGATGGAAATTTGAAGGATAATGTATGTATTAATAGTGATAAAGCAAACAGCTGCTGAACTTTGTGCCAGAACCCCCTGGCCAATGCTAGGAGTTTAGTGCAGTCCCAAGAAGAGTTGTTTATTAATCTGAGGTTGAAGGCCAGGCCAACCTGTGAGTCTCAGTTCATAAGGCTGATTGGGCCCTGCAGTTGCCCAGGCAGCCTCCTTCCTTACCCTGAGGCATCTACCAGAGCCCCAGCTGCAGGGCAATCTTCCTCATCTTTGCATTCCTTCTCTGCACAAGCCCAGTAAGTCCTTTTATGCTGAATGGGTCTATGGTCCTGGAACTGTCTAGGGACTTGACCTTGGAGGCCTACAGGAAGGCTTCTGAGGGGTGGAATGGGGAGATGGCCAGCAGAAATCTCGCAGGGATGTCTCTTTGCTTTTACCGGGCACCTGTGGCTTTCTGGATTTACCTGACCATTTGCAGAAATGACATTGACTTCTTTTCCAGAGAAAGCCATAAAGAAATAGAATCACAAAGCTAGTAAGTTGAGGTTTACTGGGAAATGACAGGTTTTTTTTTATTTAATATATTTTATTGATTTTTTTACAGAGAGGAAGAGAGAGGGATAGAGAGTCAGAAACATTGATGAGAGAGAAACATTGATCAGCTGTCTCCTACACACACTCCACCAGGGATGTGCCTGCAACCAAGGTACATGCCCTTGACCGGAATCGAACCTGGAATCCTTCAGTCCACAGGCTGACAGTCTATCCACTGAGCCAAACTAGTATCAGCAAATGACAGTTTTGAAAGAGAGCTTTGGAGGTCCAGATGAAATGCTAAGATTAAGAAATAGAAAGGGGAGTCAAGGGAGGTGGTAATTGCCAGTGTTTTTTTCCACAGAACACAGAACATTTCTGCCGGGAGCAAGAGAGGAATCTGGCAGCCTGCTAGCATTAAGAGAGTGAGACATTTCCAAAATGCTACCCCTGGTAAGTCTCTCCTGCAGTAGGAAATAGAACTTCCCTATGAAGCAAAGGCAAGTGAATTCTGAGTTAGTGACTAGCAGGGACTATTCCTCTCTGGATTACCAGCCTCAGTTTAGTGCCTGGCATTAAGTCAGTGTTAACTAATTGGACCTGAGGGGCAATGGTCTGCCTAGATATGAGGATGGGATGCAGGTGGCAGATGGGCCCAAATGGGAAAAGTGGGGTGAGCAAGAGCTCCTACAGATTCCTGGGTCTCCATTCATTTCCACCCCTTAAGCCAATAAGCATGGGTGTGCTGGAAGTGGATCTCCTAAAGGGTATGGAGAGTATATGCACAGCCTTCTAATGATAAAACCAGAGGCCTAGGCCATTTGGGATCCCACCTAGGGACCTCACTGCATGTTATTTCTACCCATGTTAAAGTACTAATCATAAAACATCCAAAGGAAGATTTACTTTTCAACAACCCCAGTCTGGAGGCAGCAATGGGTGAGCCACCTATCTCTACATCATCTCTGCCCAATACAAGTTATAGGACAGTGGGAATGTTTGGTACATGCATGTTGACTAACTGTACACCATGAGGTAATCTTCCTTGACTTTTCACACACCAAGGTGAGGACCATGTCTCTGTTTCTGTCGCTCTCTCTCCTTCTTCTGAGTGTGGTGATAACAACTTATTCAGCAATAGAACCTGATGAGAGCCTTCCAAAAACCTGCCCTGTGGTCACCTGCGCTTCTCCAGGCTTGCCAGGCAGAGATGGGCGTGATGGCCTCAAGGGAGAAAAAGGAGAACCAGGTAGAGCTTGGGCTATTCTTTCTCTGTGAATCTATACTTACCAGACAAAACTGCCTGGGGATGTAAGAGCAATGTCCAATTCATATGGGTTGTATTTCTCTCAAATATATAACACACTGTTTGGCCAGATTATTATGATCTCTGAACATAATAATCTGGCCACTCATTAAATATATGTTAGAGGCATGATGCATGAATTTGTGCATGGGTGGGGTCCAGCCAGCCTGGCCATGGTGAGGTTACATGGGCGGTTGGCCGGCCTGCCTGCTGGTTGAACTCCTGGTCAAGGGGACAATTTGCATATTAGCCTTTTATTATATACAATATACACTGAGTGGCCAGATTCTTATGCATTTAGAGATCATAATAATCTGGCCACTCAGTGTACAATTCAAAACAAATACAGCTCTGACTCTGGCAACACAGGAGTTGGTGACATGTGGTTGTCCTGCTTGCTCCGGGAGTGGCCCACATGGCAGGCCATCCCGAGGGACCTGGGAAGATTTTCTTCTCTGGGTCAGTGGAAGTAGTGATTTAGAAAGCTGGTCCTAGATGAATGTCTCTTTTCTCCTAGGAAAAGATTAAACATCAAACTCTGGGAGAAATAGAGCAAACACAGAGACACTAATTTCTGTTTCCTCCTTCCCATAGGCCAAGGGCCCAGCGGCATTCAAGGTCCCCCTGGAAAGTTGGGGCCTCAAGGACTTCCAGGATTCCCTGGGCCTCCAGGAAGTAGGGGCCAAAAAGGAGACCCTGGAGTATGTCCAAGTAAGAAGCTAACCTCAACCAGGTCTAGGCTGAGGGCCTTATTACAGGGTCCTGGAATTTGGAGAACCAGTTGGGAGGTACCACTTCTGCTGCTTCATGGAAAGATGACCAACTCAGCTTCCTGACCCAGCATGCTCAGCCCTTACTTAGAGTCTAAGGGGATCTCTGAGTATTAACTTATAGACCCTTCAGAGCCATTCCTTCACCAGGCTCTCCCTGAAGTAGCTGGGCCCTGGCTTTCCTTTAGCTACCACAATGTGAGGCTCTGGTCCAAAAGGGAGAAAGTGGACTATGTGTGTGTTGGGCTTACTATCTCTATTTTCACAAGCAGTATACACATGGCATGTCAGTTATCTCTTACTTCAAGAGAAGCAAACAAAAAACACAACCATTTATTTAAATCATGATTCTGTGGATCTGCCAACTGCTTTTGCTGCTGATCTCAGTGTCTGTGGTGACCGATGGTCTCACTTATATATCTGCCTGTTGTTTAGTTGTCAGCTGGAGTGTGGAGTGTAATTGACCCACAGGTATTCCATCCTCCAATAATCTAGCCCGGCTTGTTCACATAGAGGTAATTACAAAATACCCAATAGCAGAAAGAGTAGAAGCTTTAAGACCTTCTGAAGGCTCAGAAAACGTACATTATTGCTTCTGTCACCTTCTGTTGTCAAAGCAAGTCACAGGGCCAGCAGGGTTCAAGGAATGGGGAAATAGACTCCATTTCTTAAACAGACAAGCTGTACCATATGGAGGCCATTTTGCCATCTTTGACACACAGCCTGCCTTATGCCTTCCTCCTTAAATAATGTGCAATTCACAAAAATCTTTGTTTACTGAATAAACTCTGAGAAAAAAACAAAGACAAAACATTAAAGCAATAAAAACAAAATCTTCCTAAAGACAAAATCTGTAATCTTTTTAGATTCACCAGCACATAATAATTCCCAGAGATTTACTTTTCATTCATAATGGCGTCATTTATTTAAAAAGAAAATAGTGAATAGCTTAGCATATGGAGTGCTATCATGCTAGGTTATCTGGGAGTGCATATATGTCCATGTATGTGTGCATGTGTGTAAAGTGTCTAAATACTTTCAATAGATGAGGAGTGATGTTTTGGGCGGGATGGCAATACAGGTACTTTTACATCACTTCTTCTTAATATTTTTATTTTCTTTCAAAGAGCAAGCATTAATGTATAAGAAAATTATATATATATATGTATTTTTGATTTTGAAAATTACCCTACCCAGTTATAACTCTGAAATCCCTTCCCAACAATGTTTTTTCACTTTGTTTACATTTTCTAGAGTGTGATGATGACCAGGCTGTTTTAGAAAGAGAAGCTCTGCGCTCAGAATTGGATCGTGTCAAAAAGTGTAAGCCTTTTCTCTCATGTTTTAGTTTAGGAAGGTGCACAGTATTTGTTAAATACAAGTAATTTTCTAGTACCCATGTAAGTGTCCCTCGGGATCTGATCTCATGAAATCCTTCGAAACTTTTAGTAGAAATGGAGGCAAAGAGAAATCGGATAACTTGCTCAAAGGCACAGACCTAGTAAGTGTCAGAGGGAGTTTATAAATTGAAGCCAGTCTGACACCAGAAACACCACCTTCTCCCCTTCTCCCCTTTCTCCCCACTTCAACCCCCATTCCATACTTTCTACTAACTGTGTGTATGTGTGCTACTGAAAACTGGACCTAAGCCTCTTTCTCTTTGTGATGTTGATATTGAGACCTGACAATGGGGCCTAACCTGCTTCTTTGTGCCCTGCTGGCCTGAAGCAAATGTTCACAGACATTTTTCTATCTTCTCCAGTGAGAATACTGGGGTAAAATACACAATTACCAATTACATGTGTTCTAGAACTCTTGTCCAAAAGGACAAAGGCCTTTGATCCAGTCTGTTTTCAAGTTAGGTTTGCCTACTTAAATTTTAATCTCAGATAAAAAATAATATTTTTCAGGATAAGTATGTCCTCAAAATATTTGTGGGAATATACATATAATAAAAACATTCATTGTTTATCTGAAATTAAAATTTAACTGGACATGCCGGTATTTCATATGATAATTCTCTAGAAGCCTTTATCCAGAAAACTACCTAAAGACAAGCCAGTGTCATCCCCATGTTTTTTTGTTTCAGGGCTGACCTTTGCTCTGGGCAAAAAAGTTGGAAGGAAGTTGTACTTGACCAATGGTCAAAGGATGACCTTTGACAGTGTGAAGGCAGAGTGCTCCCATTTCCAGGCCTCCATGGCAGTCCCCATGAATGCTGAAGAGAACGAGGCCATCCTGTATGTCACCAAAGGAGATGCCTTCTTGGGCATCACAGACAAGGAGAAAGAAGGCCATTTTGTGGATCTGACAGGAAGGCCTGTGACCTACCAAAATTGGAATGCTCATGAGCCCAACAATGACAACTCTGGGGAAGATTGTGTGATAATCCTTCCTAAAGGCAAGTGGAATGACATCAGCTGCTCATCCTCCTATTTGGCAGTTTGCGAGTTCCCTGTCTGAGGAAGCCTGGCCCTCAGGCCCTTCTGTCCCTGGACCTCATCTCAGGCCCACTTTCTGCTTTGAAAGATAATACTATGCCAATTTATTCATACCCAGTACTGATGCTCCCCTTTGTGGGGAATTGCAGAAAATAAGAATGGACTGAAAGATGGGATGTGGAAGAGAGAAGAAACTGGTGAGGGGGTATAGTGAGAGTTTCTGATTCAAACTCAATCACTGATAACAAC